GTGGTTCCCTAAATCAGTCTCTAAACCGAATTCTACATTTGTGGACTATAAACAAATAAGTAGATACTGGTGACCAAGTGGGGACTTTAATTTAGGAGCGTATGAACAACATATCAATATACATAGTTAAAGATGTGATGCTTCTCGATTGAGAAAGAAACTAACTTGATCATTCAGTTATGCTCAAAAAAACGTTGAAACTGACGCATTTTTTCAAAAACAACAGAGTCTGGTGACCAGTTGTTCTCAAATGCGTAGAAACTGAAAACAAAAACTCTTTTCAAAATATAAGATCTGGTCACAAGTTCTTCTCGAAACCATTGAAACTGGCAACAAATTTCTTTCAAAGGATACGATCTGGTCACCAAATCTTTCCTGAAGTACAGAATCTCGAATTCAATTTGTTTTTGAAACATAGAATCTGGTCACGAATTCTCCTCAAAAGCACAGAAACTGAAGACAAATTATTTTTGGTGAAATCTATTTTCCATCCGCTTTCTGCCTAATCGGCAAACAAAATTGAATAAAAAAAAATTTTTCCAGAAAGTGGTTGAATCCTCAACGATGTACCTTTCTATGAAAAAATATTTGAGCTCAGCTCCTATGGTACTGAGAAGATCTGGTCAGCACATTGTGTCTTTTGAAAGAAATTTTTCTCCGGTTTTAATGATTTCGAGAAGAACTGGTGACCAGATCTTATATTTTGAAAAGAGTTTGTTTTCAGTTTCTATGCATTTGAGAACAACTGGTCACCAGACTCTGTTGTTTTGAAAAAAATGCGTCAGTTTCAACGTTTTTTTGAGCATAACTGAATGATCAAGTTAGTTTCTTTCTCAATCGAGAAGCATCACACCTTTAACTATGTATATTGATATGTTTTTCATACGCTCCTAAATTAAAGTCTCCAATTGGTCACCAGCATCTACTTATTTGTTTATAGTCCACAAATAATAGAATTCGGTTTAGAGACTGATTTAGGGAACCACAATTTCTAGTAAGTGATAACCTACCTATTCATATCAACTTACGCAGGCACTCAGTACTGTCGCTAACTAGATGCCTCTTAACTGCCAGTTGTAAAAGATAGACCTTACTCAGAATTCACGTATTCTTACGCCATGATTTGGTCACCAGTTTCAAAATACGATATAGACACTCAGTATCTGTGTTTTGTCTTCTTATCTTGTTAATGTTTTCTAGTTAGTGCAATTTACCTAAAAACTAAATGCAACATCTTCTTTTAAAACAAAGCAGTGCTCAAATCTAATCAAGATAAAATAATTTCTCAGCAATGAAGGAGCTATTCGCAGTGAAAACAGTTCATTTTGCAGATGCAACCTGTGATCATACTATAGTTTAGTTCTATTTCGATAATCAGACGGAAAGTTTTATTATGAGATTGTGATAAGTGTTTATCTTCTCTGACAAGTTCATTATGTCTTTTATTTACAATATTTACAGATTTAACTTTCTGAGTATAATGAAAAAGACTGATTATACAGTTACCAAAACGTTAGAGCACAAACAATAAAAGAAACTAATAGTATTAAAAGAACAATTTTTTAAATTCAAAAAAAATAAAATGCTTAGTTTCATACAACACAAAGTATCAAAAGAAGTAAACGAAAAGAATGTAAGAATATAAGTGGATTATTTAAGTCATTTTTACACAACAAAAATATTTCAAGATAAGGCATAGTATTAGAATAGATAAGGTAGAAATCTTTAGTAACTGGATAATTTTACCAAAACAAAGACGTAATTAACAAAGAACAGTATTCATTCTGGTCACCAGATGGGAAACTAATTCAACAATGATAAGTAGGAAACAGCTATACATAAAAATGTTATAGAAATATAGCAGAATGTTCACCTTTTCCAATGTTGCTGTTTCTATGAGGCCTTTTTTGCAATCCATTTCGATGATTCCAATAACAATTCTGTTACATTGAGTGTTCCAGCTTTATAACTATTCCATAATGATTGTAATGAATCATCTATAAGAGTTGTTATTGCCGTTCGCTTTCGTTTGTGCACCGGTTTATCTGAAATCACTTTCATTAGTAATTGTTGAACTAATAATTCTTCCTTTTCAAACCATAAAATGAGACGGTAAAGATGTGGATGAGATGATAATTGAGCACTCATTTTGTTATTATATCCTATAATCGAGAAAAGACTAGGAATAACAATCAGTTAAAAACAATCACGATTGCAATTTTTCAGGCATTTGGTGACCACACACACATTTCATCTCTGAGCACAATCGCTGTCGGAAACTAGCTAATCGATTTATCAACAAAAGTTTCTTTTTCTATCTTTGCAAAAAAGGCTATTATCTGGTGACCAAATTCCTTTTCCATAATCAAAGCTTTTTTGCTAAGCAACTATATCATAAAAATCAGAGTATAAGTAGATCAAATATTGCATGCCTTCAAGTCCGTTGTTTGTACGTGTTGTTTCACCAAATACACAGAATTTATAAGTCTTTGTTAACCATTGTGATTCGTAATAAGTAAAGAAATTACCCAAATCATGTCGAAGAGATGTTGGTTTTCTCGGAACATTATTTAATTGTGGTTTAATAACGTCATAGTACACTGTTTTAATTTGATCATTAGGTATAAAAGCCAAGGCCATAGTTTGACGAAGAATTTGCCGTACTACTTCTATATTTTGATACGCATCTTGTAATCCTTTAAGCTGAATATTTCGATATATTGCTTGGTTATAGTGAAACGCACATCCAAGTAATTTTGTATTCGGTAGCTGCAAATAGAAGATAAATGAAAAGATACTGGTTCAGTGAAATTATGAATCTGTTCACCAGAGATAATTAATTACTGTGTGTTTCTGATACTTATAAGTATACTTGTACTTGTGCTTTTAACTGTAAAGATAATTTAGAACGCATTTAATGACCGAAATAATACTACAAGAGCTCAAACTGTTGATTAGGATTTAAGAAATAACTTACAAAAATAATGTTTGAAAAGAAAACGTACCTCTTGTTTAATTGCTTTAATTAATCCACTTTCATAATCACTCATCCAAAACATTGGTTCGAAATTTAGTTGTAAGTCATCAACAGCTGTTCTAAGTATTTGTATAATTAATTTATACGTTTCATAGTTTTTCTTTTCACATAAACAATATACCAATGGTACTAGAAATAGAAATGCACGAGTAAAGAGAAACTAATAATAGCTTTTCTGGTGACCAGATCACGACTAATTCTTACCAGCATGGATTTCTTCAAATTCACCCATTATTATATAATTCTGTTGGCTAATTTGTGCTGCTGTCTCAAAAGTACCATCACTACCAACACGTTTTGATTTTGATAAAAGATTGAGTTGTAAATTGCTGCTATAAATTAACAATCGACCAACTTTAGGTGGTGCTGAACTGTACGGTACTTGAACAGAATCCGAGTCATACAACAAGAATCTTTCTCCTTGATTAGTACACGTAAATCCTGGATGTAAGACAAAATTCGAATCGCTTGGTGATGGTGGTAAATGTTCTTGACGAATACGATACAGTTGTGCTTCTGAAATAATATGCAACACCATAATATAGCTAGTAATTTTCATACCAATTGGAATTGTTCGACTAAGATAAAATTTATCAACTTTTTTTCCTTTCGATTATATCCAGCCCAAAGAGGCTTATACCAGGACAACTGGTCACCAGATTAGTGTTTATACTGTCTACTTTAAGAAAATGAACCTGTGAAAAAAGTATTTGTTTACTCACGCATATTGTAAAATGTTGGTATAACTGCTAACATTTCTCTTGAATATTTTCCTTTTTTCAGTTCGTCTTCATAAATTGTTCGTGGATTAGCAAGTTCTGTTTTACATCGTTCACGTACACGTTGTTTAAATTTTCTTATTTCAATATTATCTGGTATTGGTTCATGTGTATGTTCACCTTGAATAGAATAGATTCGAAAATTATTTTTCACATTCGGATCTGATGATCGAATAACTACAGCTGAACATTGACGATAACGTCGATGTTCGCATTCCCACGTTATGAAATTCTTTCCATAATTTTTTCGATAATAAGAATAACCACCCATATTCAATATATGTCCTCCACTTGCTGTTTGGGTGATAGTTATGTCGTCTTCAACCCAATATTTTATCGATGATCGATCTGATTGTAAAGTACGTCCACCAACTTTAATCTTATCTCCAATTTCATAAGGTTTTGTTGGATCACATAATTGTATGGTTGGTTCAGTTACTAATGGATTATGTTGAACGAATGTTGGTCTTTGTGGATTAGTTGATTGATGTTGTTGTGAAGAAACTGATAAAATTTGATTCGGAGATTTTTGTTGTTTTTGTACTGGTGAAACAATGACTAATGGCGGTGAAACAGGAGGTGGTGAGTAAGACTGTAATTGTGGTATAGGTGATTGATTCAGGTGACCTGAATGTAGTGGTGATAAAAGTGTTTGTAATTGTGGTACAGGTGATTGATTCCGATGACCTGAATGTGATGGAGATGAGCGTGTTTGTGTAAGCACTGGTGGCACTGAGATTCTTAAAGGTGATGGTGTACTTGTTGTCGATAGTTGCTGTAATTGTGCCGTTGAATACGTGATTTGTTGAGGATATAATTGCTGTAGTGCTGTTATTGATGTTGTGGCACCTGTATGCGGATATGCTGGAGAAGATAGTGGTTGAAATGTTGGTAAAACACTCAAATTTTGCATCATTCGTAACGATAATATTAAATCCCATTCATTGGGCAATAAAGTTTGTGACTGAGGTTGATATGGATATAGACAATGATACTCTTGTTGAGATGTTGGTGCGGCATTGTACAATGTTGATTGAGATGGTGGTGCAGCATTATACAATGTTGATTGTATTGGTGGTGGTGGTGCAGCATTATACAATGTTGATTGTAGTGGTGGTGGTGGTGGTGGTGCAGCATTATACAATGTTGATTGAGGTGATGGTGCAATATTGTAAAATGATGATGAAGATGACGTATCAAGTGTTGATGTTATTTGACTCTGAAAAATTGGATGATGATCACATAATGGTGTTGATGATGTATTTGGCGATAACGAAGGAATCGAAGTGTCGAACGGTATTACATTATTATTGGTGAACATTATAAAGAAGAAATGATGAATATAATCTACAGTGAAAGACAGAAAGGAATATGGATAATATTTCTGGCGACCGTAATCAAATATTTCAACAAATCAAGAATTAATAGATACATATTTCCATGAAGATACAGTTATAGTATGTAATTTATCCATTTAGATACTCATCCTCAGTATTGAATGTAAAAGAAAAGTTCATTTAATACGACATAAATCAAAGTAACGATATTTGCTTTATAAACTGTTGAAACCTAGTTAAAACAACAGCTGCTTCTCCACAAAATATTTCGAAATTTCTCACGATCTCTGAAACTGATTGATACAAAAGAACTTATTGTATTGTTTTCTATCCCATCCGACACAAAATTTGAAAACATTCTTGCTGAGAATGTTTTAGTACAAATGGTGGCAATTTTTTGTTTCACCATTGTAAACCAGAGTTAACTATGAGTCTTTTATATTGTCGTTATTTTCTCGTGACCACTAACTTACTTTCCTTTACCATTTTCAATATAGCTGAATCTATAATAGTTTTTTATTTTCACATGAGAAGAGAAAAAATATAACCATTGCATAAAGCAAAAGAGTAGTTCAAATAATGGCAAGCTTGACACAAACAAATATCTAACTGGAACAAAAGAAAAAAATATAACAAACGAAAAACTTGAGAAAGAAGGAAAACAAATCAAAACTAAATTACTATAGTTCTGTTCTGTTTTGGAGTTTGTTTACCAAGTTCTATTATTTTATTCAATCATTCTAATTATTTTTTTCTGAAGTGCTTGTGATTGATACTGTATCTGATTTTTTAGGAATTTTTCCTAGTTTCTCTGTTAAGATTTGATAGTTTTTTGTTTCGAATTTTTCATTATTATTCATTTTTTTTCGTTTTGGTGAAATTATGGATGTTGCTGTACTTGTATCTTCATCATTTTCTTTCCGTTTAGATGGTGTGAGAACAGATAAATGTGTTTGTTTTTGTTTCGTTTTCGAACGCAATCCGAACGAACGTCTTTTAGATCTATAACTGGAAGATAATAGCAAATACATAAGAACAGCTTCGAAGTTACTAATAAATGTAAGCTTACTCTTTTGACTTGATATTTTCAGTGATAATCTTTTTCATACGGGCTACTTTTTGTTTTCTTTGTGATGGTGTAAATCTTTGTTTCGATTGTGATGATATAACTTGTTGTTGTTTGGGAGATGAAGCTTTGATCGAATTATCAGTATTTAGAGGTGATGGTAATGGTGATGCTGACCGATTTCTCGTTTCAATCGTAATACTCGAATCAGTTTTACCAGCAATTGGAGAACAACTGTGCTCAACCTACAAGTAATTACATACAGTCCTATTTCCGGTTACCAGAAACCACAGTTTTTAAAGTCTAGATCACTGAACTTACGACATTTCTCACCTGTTCTTCAATTGCTCTTGAGATAATACCATCATTACTACTATAATCATTTTCATCGATGGCAGTTCGTTTTAAATGATTGTTTTGTAGTGAAATGCTACTATTAGCAATCGATTCTTCACCAGATACGCTACTATCAGTTAAAACAGTATTTCTCTTAACACAACCTTGAAGATTATTATTGTCTTTCTATAGAAAAAATAAAAATTATGTCTGCAAATCATATCATCATTTTGGAGAAAGGCAAAAGGCATACTTCTGAATCATTAATATTTAATTGTTTTTTTACTTGTTTATCAATTGCGATGATACCATTGTGACTTAATTTTTCCTATTTCAATGATGGGAGAACAGAAGTGCATGAAAGTAATCATTAAAAATGAATTTAGAAGCAGTCAGTACTCACATCATTCATTTCCATTGTTTCATTATCATCTGCAGTAGTAAACTTTTCCGAATATTCATTTTCCATCATTTCAATAGACTTAAAATAAAAACAACAAAATGATTACAATGTTTTTGTAGGATAGATGGAATTTAACCATGATGCACTTCATTAACAACTTACTGATTTTTCTTTTTGTTCACTGCCATCAACATGAACACTTTTTTTCTATTCAATATAAGAATGAAAAAATTTCAATACTCGTGACCAGAATTACAAAAAATAAGCGCTTACCTTTTTACTTTCTCTTGCAACACATTTCACCATTATTCTTTTTGGAATTGGTATTGTTTTGGTCGGCTGAACTTCACTTAACTCATAATCATCCCCATAATATTCAAAAACTCTGATAACAAAGAATAATATAAAATAAAACATCAAGTAGTGAAAACTTTCATTTACGGTCTTTGTTGTATGGGTGATATGAAATGCGGATTGCAAACTATATCGACACTATCAGCAATCATCTGGACAACAGCACTTGCTCTGTCCTTCGTCATCTCGACGTTTTGTACATCAAATAGTGCCTTCAATTGCACCCCAGATAATAAAGTTCCATGTTCACGTGCATAACTAAGCACACTAGTTGCACATTCACGCACTTCTTGCTTCTTGTTATATAGCATATATAAGCCGCCTATTTGAAACCATCCATTAGTAAGAGTATTGATTTTTTCAGAAAAACTTTTGACAATTATCTACTTACAATTTTTTGACCCACCTTTCCAATTGATAGAACGTCTTTTATGACCACCAGTTGAAACTAAGCAAAATATATGAAAAATTAGCTCCTATTTCTGGTTACCAGTTTTGAACATAAAGGATATAAAAACAAGGGTGGACTCTAACAACATACCATGTTTTTGGGATGTTTCTTCTCCAACCTCATCTTCTTTACCCGATGCATTTGTTCGGTTATAAATTGATTCATCTGTACGACCATCAATGTTTTCAACATCTAGAAGTACAATTGTATAATTTTTGTTTGTGATGATCAGAAATAAATGTCCCATCGAATGCATTATATCAGGGTATCTTTCCCAGAATTATCCAACTGTTTTTTTATCGTTATTCATATTCACAGACTCTGGATAGTTTTGTAATTTGTATAGAACCTTGAATCCCATGAACAGTTTTTATATCAAAAGCCAAACCTTATTTTTCAAGAAAAACCAGAAAAAATAATTCTTTATTGTCATATTATTTCACATAGAAGCAAAAGAGGTTCTCCCCAGACCGAACATACTGTTATAGTGCTATCCACTCATGTCTTTTTTCATCCTTTTGTCTCTTCTGTTATATCATACAAATGACAGGTACTGTATATATATATATATATATATATCTTCTTTTCTTCTTGCGTTCACCTTTGGTATTTTCTAACCGTTCCCTTCCCTGTATGTTGTTATGTGATTTTTCCCTTGCGTGCATACTTATTTCCAAACCCATTTAGAATTTTCTTAACTCGTTCATCTATGCATAGTGAACCTTTTTCAAAAGAAAATGAAGATGTTTGTTATTGATCGGTAAGATTGATTCACTCGTTAATACATACAAACAAAATTTATCATTCACATACCGATTGGAATTCTTTTCTTTCGATTTCTTGATGTTTTATTTTTCAATACTTCATCGACATATAAAAATAAATTCCCATTTTTGAGTAATAGTTGTTGTGTAATAGTTGTTTTCGACGTATTGGCTTTAAACAAAATTGTCGAATTAAGAGATTTTGATCCATTGCCACGATAGAATTGATTGATTTTGTTCTTGAACTCATTTGTCCCTTTAATACCTGGAAATATGCAACTATTATTGCAATACGAAGACAAATGTTCTAGAATATGATTTTCCAAATCAACTAAAAAAAGACAAAAACAAAGTCAGCAATAAAAGCGACCTAATATGCTTTAGTTCTTAATATTCTGCTCAACAACAATAGGATCAACATGAAAATGACGACCATTACAAAATATATGAGTATATTTAGCTGATCAAGAAAAGAAACAAAAGTGTATTTTCTGGTGATCAGAAATATAATAACTAGACAGATGAAGATCATTAAAACGTATTTGAAGATATGTAACTGGTCAAGAAAAGAAATATAACTATAT